AAACACATGGGGCATATTTTTTTAAAAATAAGATTTTCTGCAGATCCCTTTTACATTAGGCTTTATCATAAAATCATAATCCACATTCTTTGATCAAAACTACATACCAAAGTGCACAAAATAAAATTTTTTGGAAAAACCCAACCCACTTTCATTCTACCATCGCTACTGACTTCCACCCCCTCCAACTAATCTGCTGTCATTATTTTGAAGAACGTTCTGCAAAACCTTTTCCTGTGAATGCAGACACATTTTATCTGACGCTTCAGTTCACTCATGTGCTTATGTAATGGAAGCAAGATTGCTGGATACAAACTGTCCTCCAACTCTGTTCTTCCCCTGAACAGAGGGGCTGCCTGTCCACGCCGGTCCATTCCGACCCCGTCCTCCTTCCTGAAGGCCGCACTGTTCTCCAGAGCGGACTCGGACTGGAACTTATTTGCCTTTTCCCTGTCTCCCCATCTTCCCACTGGCCCTCGGGGGCCTGAACACCCTTATGTATATCGCCTGGCACCCTGAGGAACACAGGAGGACTCTCTAAAAGTAACACTGTATGAGTTTTTTTTTTTTAATGTGCCTTTGCCATTTTGTCCTCCAAAAAAAGGCTGTGCCAATTTTTCAGCTTCTGGAAAATGGTTTTTTAAAAATAAGACCTCGAGTACAGCTTTGTGGCAGGTGCTGGGTGCTGAAGAGAAGGCCTGGGCTGGCTAAGGAAAGAAAGAAACAAGAAAGAGGAGAGATTCCCACGGCCCCAGGGCCTTCAGAAACGCCACACACCCCAGATGGCTCTGCTGCGCCCATTTTACAGAAGGGATCTGAGTCTCCAAAGCATTGGCCATGAGCCAGGTACACAGAGCTGGGTCTGTGGGCCTCCTTGGCCCCCAAAGGGCAGGGGAAGCACCAGCTTGAGAAGAGACAGAGGGGCCGTGCTGGGAAAGGGTGGTCCGCTGACCAGGAGACCTGGGGGTCCGGCCCAACCCTCACTGCCGATTAGCTGTGTGCCGTGGGGAATTCACCTAACTGATCTGATCCTCGGTTACTTCATCTGAGAAATGGGTCTGGTTAACACTTGTCCTACTCTATCTTGTAGGCGGCCTTATTTTCTTAATCAAAACTTAGGCTCCATGGTCGAACAAGCCCAACCTTACTTACAGAAGTAACAGAAGAGAAACCGTGAACGCTGAGTCCTCCAGAAATGTGATTCACACACACACACACACGGCGGGGTGCTGGGGCTGGGGCCGGGGCCTGTGGGATGCGTGTTTCCCGAAAACCCGGCGGGGAGGCCTGTGGCCAGGCCCTGGGCTCGGGGGAGGAGTGAAAAGCGCAGGCCGATTCATTCAAAGGTAGCTGCTGGGTCTCCATGCACAAACCCCGGGGGAGGAGGCTGGGGTGGACCACGCCAGAGCTGACCAGCCCTCACACTCAGGGGAGTTCACTACAGTTTACAAGCCCTTCATGACCTCGTAAGGAAATCTCCCAGAAGCCCTGCAGTGCAGGGATCTCTCCATATCCTCATCTTATAGAGGAGGAGAAGGATCAGGCTCAGAAAGGGGACATGACTCGCCCAAGGTCACCCAGTTATGGTTATTTCTACGGTTATAACCATAACCCGGGGAGCCCTTGCTCTCAGCGAGGATTATGCTGTGCCCTTTGCCCCAGTTACTCCATCTGCTTCACCTTCCAACCACCAGTTTGCAGGTGAGGAGTTCAGGCACCTTGCATGAGTCACCTACTCAAGGTCTGACCACAGGGAAGTGAGGCCAGCGTCCTCTGACAGCACCCTGGGAGAGGCCGGGAGAGTGTGGGCAGGCCGGCCCTGAGGGAGGCCCCGCTGCCACCTGGGCCTCGGGAAAGGTGCGCACAGGAGGCCACCACACACAGCCAGCAGGCCCCGAGCCTCACCCAGTGCTCTGTCCTTTGCACTCCCCCAAACCCTGGCACTTGACACCTGGTACTCTTTGAAGAGAAAGAGTCAAACCCTCCAGGTTCCAGGATGAAACCCCCCACCCACCTCCCGTGCCACCCAAAGTGTGAGGGGTGCAGCCTTACAACGAGAGAACTGGCCTCAGGACCACCCAGCCCCATAGTTTACAGACAGATAAGTCAGCTGAGGCTGTGAGAGGCCACATGGTAATTCTGGGCAGAGGTGGGACTCAAACACAGGTGCCCACCTGGGCCAGCGCCCTTCCACCACACCTGCTCACCCCTCCACTGCCCATCTAGATCCAGAACCCAGTTCTTATGCCCCTCCTTCCCCTCCCCAGCTCCCACTAGTGATGTAACTGAGCAGGAGCAAAGCTGGGGGAGGGGATGCACTTCCTGAGCTGGGGCGGGGGTAGGGGCTGCTGCAAAACTTGCTGCCCTCAGGGAGCCCCCGTCCAGGCTGCCAAGTACAGGTCTTCAAGGGTTCAGGTCACTGAGTCATTCAACAAACAAACACTTGCCGGTTTCTTCCCGCCCATCTCAGGGCAGAGGCACCTCCTCTGGCCACCAGGCCATCCCCTGGGAACCACCCCATATATTCATTCATTCATTCATTCAACAAACACGAAGGTCCTACTACATGCCCATCACATTTCAGGGTCTCCTCCCTCTCCTTTCACCACCCAACCCTCCCTCCCAGCCCTCAGCTCCTCCTCTTTCCCTCCTCAACCCTGTGGCCCCTTTGCCCTGGCAAGGAGGGCAAATCCTGAGGGGCACTGGGGAGCCAAGGAGCCCAGAGGGGCTGAAGCAGCCCTGGGCTGTCCCACTGACAGACGAACACAAGCTCCGTGGTTACCTGGTGTGGCCAGGGCAGCAGGCAGGTGCCTCTCCAGCGGAGGCCCAGGAGACACTGACGCCCGGCCCTGGGGGCTGCCAACCCCCGCCCCCACCCCCACCTTTGGCCTCCACCCAGGCCAGGCAGCATGGAAAACCCAGCCGGGCTCAGCTGACTTCCTCTTGTGTCATGGAAAGTGGGGGTGATGGGGACAGGAAACTCCCGCCAGGGATCTGGGGTCTGAGCGGGGACAGCGGGCCTGGAGGCCTGGTGGGGGGGAGGGTGCGGTAACTGATGGGGGTGGGCTGCAGGGAGGGAGGGGCTTGAGGAGGCAGAGGAGGGAGTAGGGTGGCAGCAGCAGCAGCTGCGAAGGGGGGAAGGCTTTGGGAGGGGCCGGACCCCTGCCCCTGGGATCCGGCAGCACCAGTCCCAGAGGCCTGGAAGGCAGCAACCCGGACGGAACCTTGAGCTGCTTTCCGTTTTCCAAGAACAAATAAAAAAGATTAGAAACCAAAACCTGGCCTGTGATGAGGACTCTGAGATCACATAAAAGGCACAGTTTTCATTTGTGCTCTTTGCTTTTGGTAAGCGGAGGGTGGAGGGTAGCGGCGAGTGTTGTGAAGTGGGAGAAACGTGGGTTCAAATCCTAGTTCTGACCTCCCGAGGCCAAGGGCGGTCCTTCCTGAGCCTCAGTTTCCTCATCTGTGAAATGGAAAACCCCGCCCACTTCCCCCCGCCGGTTGGGAAGATGAAAAGAGGCCACGCCCCTGGCTCACAGGGGCCTTTCTCCCTTTCAGACTGCAGGCATGTAAACTGATACAGTAGAAACCGGCTGTGAAGGGCCACTTCCTACACACAGCGAGTGTGACCAACGAAAGGCTTCTAAACACCGAGTCTTTAGGAGAAAAATCGTACAGAGGGGTCCTTGGGGTGTAAAGCTGGGCAGGCCCACTCCTCTCTGTGTCCCTGGTGCTTGGCATGGGACATGGCTCTGTCGAATGAAAGAACAAACAAACGAATGACAGTTCTAGGATTTCCAGAGTCCCGGGATAGGACGGATGGCCGTGAGGGCAGGCGGGCGGCAGGGTCGGGAAGGGCTGGTTCCAGGCTTCCGCCGTGTCACCTGAGGCACCTCCGAACCCTGTAGGAGGTGATGGGTGTGGCGCCCGATCACGCCTCTTAGCGGGTCCTCATTCCTTGGTGTCACGCCTCAATGCTTCCCTCTGATGGGCTGATTCGAGTGCCTGAAGCCGTCCAGGCCTCTCGGAGCAAGGGCCGGGGAGTGTTTGGCGCCGGGGAGCTGAGTAGCAGCTATTCCTGGGCAGCTGCTGAGAGAGTCTGGCCGGCCCAGGGGAGGAGAGCACCCAGCCCAGACCCGGAGGACCTGGAGCTGCTGTGGGGAGGGGGGCAGAGGAGAGGGGAGGGGTGACTGGGACCCCTACCCTCTGACACGTCACACTCAGCTCTCCTGTCTCCACGCCTGCCTGGACTGGCCCAGATTGTGAGGGGTCCCCGGGGGCCTGAGTCTGGGCCTCAGTCTGCCAGTCCCTGTGCGCAGGCTCCCAGAGGCTGGAGCCCTTCCCCCGTCCCAGGGCCCCACCCCCCACACATCCACTTCACAGAAACACAGCCACCCTGCCCCTTTCTCACAGGCTAGAGGGTGATTCCAGCCCCTCTGGGAGCCTTAGGGACACAGCGATCTCACACTAGCGTAGCAATCACACACACACTGGCGTGGAGGTCGCCCCCCCCACACGGGCACAGTCTCCCACACGGCTGCAAGCCCCGAGTTTGTGGAGGAGCCCTCCCCCAGGCTTGCTGGTTAAGTGGCGCCTGTGGAGGTTTGCCTCAAACTCCCGCCTCACCCCATGAGGGGGATGGATGGTGTGTTGGGGCTCTTATCACTGAGCCTGAAGCGAGAACTGGCCCGGTGCCCTCCGCCTCCCCGCTCTCAGCACCCCAGCCCAGCTGGGCACCACCCTGGTGGGACCCCTGCCTCTCGGTCCCCTCGGCCTGCTGCCAGTGGGGCCAGGCGCCTCCCTCGCAGGAGCCCTGCCCCAGTGTGGCGTGATCGGGGCACTGTCCCGGCCCTGGGCACCTCGGGCAGGAAGCTAGCAGAAGCCATTCGAACGGGGACAGGTGGTTTTACCGGAGGAAGTTGACAGTTCAACTTCAAATGTGGGTGACGCAGGCCCTACGCAGCCTGCTCCCCAGTCCCACCCCTGCCCACGCCTGCCCGCCCCGCCCCCTCCTCCCCGAGGAGACACGGGGGGCAGACAGCCTCACCCACGGGTGCTGAGCTTGCCGAGACTGAAGCAGGAGGAGGCTGTGACCATGGTGGAGTCTCAGCAGCTGCTGCTGGCTGCCCTGTGCCTGCTGGGAGTGCTGGGTGAGTACCCTCCCGGGGCGTCTGCCAGGGTACCTGGGCTTGGCGTGCAAGGGGCGAGATGCCAATTCTTCCCTTGGTCTGACTCTGAGGCCCGCATGCAAGACTGGGACCACCAGGATCCCTGTCTGAGTCCCCAGCTCCTGCCTCACTCTCGGCCTTGCTTGCCCCACCCCCAGAGCCTCAACCCTGCTTCTCTCCTGCCCTGCTGGGGCCTTCCAGGCAGCATCTGTGCTAAATCAGGCTTTCAGACTAGCAATCAAGTCAGCGGCCCCCGTCTAACTTGGGCTTCCCTCTGCGGCTCCCCGCTGCCCCGCGAGCGTCCAGCCTCCACTTAGATGTCTCGAGGGACAGGAAAGTCGTGGTCTCCTGGGTGGTTCTGACGATGCTCTGGGCAGGCTGGCTGAGGCGGGGTAGGGCCCGCCTTTGAGAATGCAGCTAAGCAGATGTCAAATGTGCATGCCTTAGTTCCCGGTCCCTCTGGTTCCGTCCCCAGTGGGGCCCCAGCTGAGCCCACCAGCCAGGCTGTGAACTCACCGTGGGTCTCCTCCAGGCCAGAGGGAAGGGCTTCAGAGCCCACCCACCCCTGACCCCTGTGGGCCACTAATGGGACAACCTGGGACCTTCTGTTTGCCTGGGGGGCGATGGTGGAAGCTGGGGGGTCCTCCATCGCTGGGGACTTGGGACACTAGCTGAGGACCAGGACCCTGCTGCTGGGGCCGTCACTGACTCCGGCCGGTGGGTAGAATCCTGGGCAACGGTGGGGAGGGGCGGCCGTTCGTGCTGCGGCCTGAGCCCCGGGTTCTAAGCCTGGCCATGTGTGCCTAGGATGGGTCCCAGGGCCTCTCTGGGCCTCCATCTGCCCATTTCTAGGAGGCAGGGGGTGAACTGGAAGAAATCTGACTTCTTCTCGAGGTCTGGAAGGTGGAGCGGGGTAAAGAGGTGCGTGGTCCTAGGACGGGAATGGGCGGCAGCAGGAAGGAGCTTGAGGCTCCCCGGTTCAGAAGGGAAAGTCTCAGGGGACCCTCAGGCCCCTCTAGAGAAGCTGGCGTGCGGAGGTGACTCGGCATGTGTGTGTGTAAATAGGCATGTGTGTTTGTGTGTGCATGTGTGAGCAATGTGCTTGTGTGTGTTTTCAAGGGCCAGGCATGCCCCCAAATGTCATCCTACCATCCCCCGAGCATGTGACGACGGCACATGTGCACTCATGGTCACACGGCTATTCTTATACGGAACTGCAAGAGATACAAAGTGCCTTCCGCCTCCAGGGCAGAGGCCTGGAGACGGGACCCTGGCTGCCCCCCGGGACCCTCTGGAGGAGCTGCTGTGGCCCCTCGGCCCTGGGCAGCCCTGGGACCAGGCCCTTCAATCCCCACCTGCCCCTCACTGGTGGCTGGGTATGGGGTGGGGTCCTGCCCCGTGGCCTCCCGCCTAAATCCCACTGTGGGCCGAGGCTCCTGGCAGGACCCCACAGGCCCGTGGCCCAGAGGAGCCCAGAGTCAGGGCGGCTCAGCAGCCGCACCTTCAGCCCCTGTTCGGCAGGAACCCCTGAGACCTCAGGAGCATGTGGTTCCCCGTGTGTGTGCACGTGTGTGCACGTGTGTGCACGTGTGTGCACACGCACGCACCGGTAGATCAGAAACATTCCCGTCGCTCAGTGGGTCACCGCTTAGAAAATACCTTCAGAGCCATCTTCTTCCGTAAGCCCCACGGCAGCCTAGGAAGTAGGCGGGCCCAGCGGCCCCATTTCACAGTGGAGAAAACTGAGGTCCGAGGGGCAAGCCCGGGGTGAAGCAGCTGGTGGGCAGTGCAGCTGACCCCAGCCCAGCACTCCCGCTCTCGTGGAGACCCCTCGGGACCCTTAGCTAAGAGCAGAGGCCACCAAAGCCACTCCCATGCGGAGGAAAATGGTCGCAGGACACAACTGCCCCCAGCGGACTTGCAGCCCCCAAGGTCTAGCTAGGGGCCCCGAGGCCCAGGGCCGGAGCCGGGGGCAAACAGCACAGGTACCTTTGAGTCCTGCCCAGAACAGATGCCGCCACAGCCCTGGGGATGCTGCGGCCTCCTGGCTGGCCTGCTGGGCCGTGCCCGTGACTCAGGGAACTTGGGGCATGAAGGTGCCTGTGGCATGGGGATGGCGGCCGTGACCATGGCCTCCCACGGCGGCTCTCAGCCCCAGAGACTCTGCAGATTGAATCCTGTCTGCCGCTCGCCAGCCGGGTGACCTCCGACCTGTCTGTAAGCGTCGGTCGGTCTTCTCCTCTGTCCGTGGGAATACAGTAGTGCCTGCCGCACACAGGGTTTTAAGGATGAAATGAATCAATGCATGTAAAGTGTCAGTCAGAATGTCGGTATGTCGTAGAGTAAGCACTCAAGAAGCATCAATAGTAATAATAATAATTACTGTTAAATTATTATTACTACTCTCAGGGTCAGTAAGAAACGAGGTGAGGTAGGATTGGTGGGAAGGGGTCTCGCCAGAGGCTGGCCTGCCCCTCAGCCTTCCTGCTGCCCAGCACTCTGGCACAGGCTCTTCATTCATTCGCTCACCTGCAAAGGTTTACTGAGCTCCTACTCCGTGTCCAGCTCTGTGCAAAGCATCGGGGATACAGCAGTGAACGGAACAGGACCCCCGCCATGGACCTCCTGGTCCTGCGTGCCAGGCTGAGGCCAAGGAGACCTGTTACAAAGCACAAGTAAACGAGCCCTCGAAATACGTGCAAATATGTTGGTCAGCGCAACCAAGGAAACAGCTGCGGTGGACATAAGTGGCGGACTTCACTGTGGGGCAGGCCCAGTCCACAGGCTGGGCGTCCACGACAGAGGAGGGGGTGGGGCCCTGGCTTTGTGTGAGCCACGCAGCCCGTGTCCCAGGCGGCAGCGCTGAGGCCCGCTGGCTCTGGGCACAAAGGATGAGGCCCCAGCACCCCCAGGAGGAACGGGGGGCCCGGGGGCCGGCACTGGTCCTCTGGGCGCTCTGCCCAGCTCCAGCCGTTCAGAGGGGCTTCCTCCATCTCGACCAAGGAGGGTCTTCCACTCCACCTGAGAAGCTGGACTGAACCCCTACTGTGTGTGTGTGCACACCTGTGTGTGGGTGCACGTGTGCACACGCGTGTATGCCGTGTGCGTCTGTGTTGGGTGCCGTGTGTCCGGGAGGGCTGTGTGCGCGTCCCTGAAGACCCGTGGGGCTCAGAGCAGCACGGATCGGGGTCCGATTTCTAGGTGGCCACTCACGAACGACGAGAACACCTCTCTGAGTCTCAGCCTTCTCACCCAGAAAATGGGGGTCACCGCCGTGCTCGCCTCAAAGGGTAATTCGTCACCAGATCTAACTCTTTCGTTCATGCGTTCAGACACCACCTGTGCACTGAGCACCCACTATGTGCCAGGCAGCGTTCTGAGCGCGGGGGGCACCTTGGCGAACAAGGAAAACCCCCGGGGGGTGGGTCTGACACTGTAGTCGGGGTGTGATGGGGAGACAGACGAGACACGGAGTGGGCCGGTGACTGCACGGCGCTCGGAGTCCCGAGTGGTGTGGTCGGGGGGTTGGGAGCATGGGGCGGCCGCGCTGTGCCTGGGAGGGTGCAGTGGGCCTCACGAGAAGATAATGTTTGAGAAAAGTCCGGTAGGGAGGGAGGGAGCCCGCCGTGCCAGCCTGGGGAGGACCCCAGCAGAGGGGCGGCAGCCAGAAGGCTGTGGGGGCCCCCCCCGGGGGGTCAGGGCTTCTCCCCCAGTCTCCTGAGCAGAGGGGAAAGTGTGCTGAGCACCCTGGAGAGAGACAGGAACTCACCTGTCCTGGCCCGCAGCCCGCACCTTGAACCCCGGGCCGGGCCAGTTGCTTCGGGAGTTCAGAATGTTTTAGATGGTAGGAGGTACCCTGTGCATGGGCTGCGTGCCCTGGACATGCCCGCCATAAGGCAACGCTTCAGGAGATGGCTTCTGCAGTGAGGCGTGAAGTCACACACTCAGAGGGACCCCTGAAGGCCGCCAACACCCTCCCGCCAAAGGCGTTAGAAAGACTTTTGGTTTGGATCTTGAATCGCAGATGAGGGATTGTGGCCACCTCCTCTATAACTACTGCTATCATCCTCATCCTCCTTCTCATCATCATTATCATCATCACCATCACCATCATCGTTATTCCCCTCCCAGGCTGGACTTCCGGGGCTCTCACAGGCACCCCACTACTCCCTTATCCCTGGGGGCACAGCTGGGAGAGAGGTGGCAGGGACAGGACAGGAAAGTGGTGGCAGTTGACAAAGACGACAAGGGCCCACAGGTTCCCGCAGAGGCTTCCGGAGCGAGCCCTCCCTCTGCTCGGCCTCAGTTTCTCCCATCCGGACCATGGGGCAAGCAGGCTCTGGCCCCTCCCCGCAGTAGGCTCCCGTGGGGCCCTGCCCAGTGATGGCCTTTGTTTTTCTGCCCTGACTCTATACCACCAGCGAGCTGTGTGACCTTGGGCAACTCACTCAGCCTCTCTGGATCTCAGTGTCCTGATCTCGAAATGGGGGTGAGCCTGGTGCCTTCAACACAGGGCTGTGGGTGGAAAGAATGAGCCCCCACCAGCGGCAGAGTCCTGAGATATGTGAAGCCCTGAACAAAACGGAGGGCTTGTCCCAGTGGAGACACGGGCGGCGTGAAGCTCATGCACATTCCATGGGACACGCCCGGCCACAGCGGGGGGAGAGCGCCATGAGCTGAACCGTGAAGGCCCCTGTGCCCAGATGGGCTCACTGCCTGCGCGCTGGCACAGGCCCTGGGTGAGCAAGAGGAGCGGCCAGGTCCGCTGTCCTGTCCGAGGGCTCCGGCCCCCTGGCTCTCCTGGCGCGAGCTCCTCTGCGTGTTTTGCACAGAAAAAAGCTCCCGATCCTAAACCAGCCACTTCCTCTGGGGCTCGGCCAGAGGCACAGAATTTTGGGTCGTGCGATCTTTGTTCCCCTGAAGCCCTGATGCTGATGGAGTTTAGACACAGCTCACCGGCCAGTGTGGTCCAGGAAAGAGGA